CTACGCGGGAACCACCTGAAAAACATTTCATCTTTGGTTGAGTGCATAACAAACCTGTCCAGCTTGATACAACTGGACCTTTCTTTTAACAATCTAACCACCCTGCATCACTCCACCCGTCTGCCAAACTCGCTTGCCAAACTTTACCTCAGTGATAATAAACTACACAAACTGGGATGTGACAAGTCTTTCCTAAAGTATGTGAAAGTGCTAGATCTATCAGACAACAAATTACTGTCATCCAAGACTTTTCAGGGCCTGAATCTGAAGAGTATAAAGTACCTGCGCTTGCGCTTTACCAATGTCTCCACTAGCAAGCTTCTTAATTATACCAATATTCAACCAAGGCACATCGACTTCTCTGGTTTGAAACTGAAGCATCATGCTCTGACTTCGCTGTGTTTTCACCTGCGATATCATCAAATACCTAAAATGGTACTCCAGAGCAATTCCATAAGAGTTCTATACAAAAACACATTTTGTAATTGCTCCAGTATCACTGATCTAATGGACCTCTCGTGGAACGAGATGAAAACCACAAGCTGCTTGCAGTTTCTGCACTGTCAGAACCAACTGGAAACTCTCAAGATAGAACATAACCATCTGACCAGGCTAATGTCCTGCGACACATTTAAAATTCTCTACAGCTTGAAAAGCCTGAGCTATCGTTACAATCGTATTCTACGGGTTAGTGGTTATGCCTTCAGTAACACACCAAATTTAACAAACCTCGAGCTAAACATAAACATAATTGCCTATTTGGACCATAAAGCCTTAAGTGGACTCAGAGATCTTGTCACACTTCGTCTCGATAACAATCTTTTGACCGATATCTACAATGACACCTTTGAAGATCTTACCAACCTGAAAACGCTCAACATGCGCAACAACCAAATTGCTGTGATTTTCAACTATGCCTTTCAATATCTGTCAAATCTAATTATTTTAGATTTAGGAGGGAACAAGATCACGCAGATGAGGCCACATGCATTTGATAGGCTGAAAAGCTTGGCCAATCTGTATTTAGACAGAAATCGTCTGAAAGAGATAGACAGCACGCTCATTGGGAAACTTCATGCCACCCTGCAGGTGCTGGATTTACAGGCTAACCACATCCTGTATTTTACAGAACATACATACTCGCCATTTATTAATATGTCGAGGCTTCTTGATCTGAAACTTGATGCACAGGAACCAAATGGCATAAACTTGTTGCCACGCGCATTTTTCCGTGGTTTAACTTCTCTCAAAAGTCTTTACCTCACTAACAACCATATCATTGGATTTGGTGCTGAAACATTTGATGACCTGAAAAGCTTGGAGTTCTTAACTCTGGACAACTCATGTGTTGGGATCGCCCAGCTCAAACCTGGTATTTTCAAAAACCTTCGAAAATTAAAGACATTATCCATTGAGAACATGGGCATTAAATCATTTTCTAAAGAGGTCTTTGGAAATCTCACAGGACTGAAGCAACTACATCTCAATCGCAATGCCATGATGTCTTTGGACATCAGTCTACTGGACAATCTGACCAATCTAACATACGTTGACATGCGCAGCTGTCCTCTCAGTTGTGGCTGCCGGAATAGTGAACTGCAGAACTGGACCATAAGCAGTAAGAGACTCCAGTTTCCTTATCTTTTCAATATTACATGCCAAGACCATCCAGGCTCCTTTTTTCACAACTTCGACACTAATGTGTGTTATTTAGACATAGCACTCTACCTGTTTTCCTCAACGTTTACATTCACAATCTTACTGAGCTTGATACCACTTCTTTATGTCAGACTTTACTGGAAATTTAAGTACGGCTACTATGTGTTTCGATCATGGTTTGGAGAACAGTGGCGTCGCTTAAGGGACCAGGAGGAGAAATACATTTACGATGCCTTTGTTTCCTACAACTCAGCAGATGAAGACTGGGTAATGGAACAGCTGTTGCCGAACCTCGAGGGTTCTTCATTTCGGCTCTGCCTGCACCACAGAGATTTCGAGCTGGGCCGTGATATTGTCGACAACATTGTGGCTGCCGTATATGGCAGTCGCAAAACGATCTGTGTGGTCAGTCAGAGCTTCCTTCGCAGCGAATGGTGCTCACTGGAGATCCAGCTGGCCAGCTATCGCCTCTTTCAAGAAATGCAGGATGTACTTTTGCTGGTCTTTCTGGAGCCTATCCCTGAGCGGCAACTGTCCACTTACCACCGTATGAGGAAGGTCATGCTCAAAAAGACTTATTTGCAGTGGCCTGGGCCAAACTGTTCTGATCCAAACAGTGCAAAAGAACTGTTCTGGAATCAATTAAAGAGAGCACTAAGAAGCAGCAACACTGGAAGCCAAGAGGAGCAGAAGATGAAGGAGCAGAACGATCAGAGGAGGCAAGACAAAGAGGGTGCGGACCAGGAGGAAAGAGAATATTTTGTGAATCAGACACCAATAGATGATGAAGTATATTACCTGATGCCCTGATTACACTGGCATATAATTTAATCTGTACAATATAAGAACAAATTTAATGAACTTCAATAAATGTAAATTAAAGGGCTGTAAATTCTGCAAGCTTGCAAACATGGAAAAAATAATCATGGAAAAGATACAAACTCGCCGGAAGCAATTTAGAATTTTTATTAGGAGTTTATGGTAAAAAATTTAATAATAATATAAT